GGGTTTGGGTGCGAGAGGAAGGGGTTAAAACACTAAACAGCCCATGATGCTGGCGAGAGCATCGACGGGAGAGGACGGACAGTACAGCTGCGACAGTGTGAGCCGGATCTACAGCGAGCAGGGAGGAGATCCCCCGACCTGCGCGCTCCACTGGTCGCTCGTCACCAAACTTCTGCTGCTGCGATACGATGGGAGCTGCCCGACTGACGACGTGAGTAACGCGCCGAGAACGCCAAAAAGAAACCCAAAAAAGTTTGATTTTTATTTAAGGAGCGCCGACATATTCCGTAGGGATGTACACAGCTTCCCCAGCCAAGGAGCTTGCACTCTAATGTCTCCATCGTCGCGACATTGTTATTGATTACCGATGTTTACCGATATGTCGCCGACATACGAAGTGGAGCCGTAAGGAGGGGATTTCATTTTCAGAAGATGTATCACATGACCTTTTATTTGTTGGCATGACGATCGTTCAACATTTATATATCGCCGACCTATTCCGCAGCGCTGTACGGAGGACGCTGAGCCAGTCGCATCGGTCTCTGCAGCAGAGGAGCTTACACTCTAATGTCCCCCCACAGTCTCACACTATTATATATACATTTATATAGCTCTGACATATACCGCAGTGCTGTACAGAGAACACTGAGCCAGTCACATTAGCTTCTCTACAGAGCAGCTTACACTACCCCCCCACAGTCACACCCTATTATTATACTTTTATATAGCGCTGACATATACTGCAGTGCTGTACAGAGAACACTGATCAATCACTTTACTCTGCAGCAGAGGAGCTTACACTCTAATGTCCCCACCACAGTCACACGCTTTTATATAGCTCTGACAAATACCATAGTGATGTACAGAGAACACTGAGCCAGTCACTTCAGTCTCTGTACAGAGGAGCTTACACTCTAATGTCCCCACCACAGTCACACGCTTTTATATAGCTCTGACAAATACCATAGTGATGTACAGAGAACACTGAGCCAGTCACATCAGCCTCTGCAGCAGAGGAGCTTACACTCTAATGTCCCACCCACAGTCACACGCTTTTATATAGCTCTGACATATACCATAGTGATGTACAGAGAACACTGAGCCAGTCACATCAGCCTCTGTACCAAAGGAGGTTGCACTCTAATGTCCCCCCACAGTCACACACTATCATTATACATTTATATTATGAATACAATACAGGATTTATATAGCGCCAACAGTTTGCGAAACGCTTTACAATACTATATATAATATATAGCTCTGACATATACTGCAGTGCTGTACAGAGAATACTGAGCCAGTCACATGATTCCCTGTACAGAGGAGCTTAAACTCTAATGCAGAATGGCACCGCTTGTAGGGGGACTACAAATCCCAGCAATACATTTATACAGCAATGCAGAACAGTATATGAGCTGGACTCTGGGCTTAGTGACCCCCACAGTCACACAGTATTACTATTATATATGTTGCACTTTAACCAAACACTATTGATAGTATAGGTTTATATAGCTCTGACATATACCACAGTGCTGTACAGAGAACACTGAGTCAGTCATATCACTCTCTGCACCTGAGGAGCTTACACTCTAATGCCCCCACCACATGACCAGTATACATGTTATCCGTTATGTTTCTGGATTGTGGAAGATAACTCTCACGCAGAAACATATAAACTCCGGCCAGACAGTGACTTGGACAGTAAACGAACCCAGGGACCCCAGCGCTGTAAGCCTCCATTGCCACCCAGTTACAAAGTTCCAGAATCAGCTCAGTGATTCATGTGTGCCTCTTACAGACAAGAATTCCAAATCTGCTTCTGCTGCCTCTGTACAGAAATACTCCCTTGTGTCTCATGTCCCCCCTGTTCGGGTTTTCTTTAGAGTGCAAGCTCTTGGACCCAGGTCCCCCCTCGCCATCTGTCTCATTGTCCGTTATATTATTTATTCCTACTTGTTATGCTATTACCTGATATTTTTTATTCATGTCCTTTTGGGTTTTTCACAGGACTGTACAGCGCTGCAGAATATGTTGGCGATATAAAGGACAGAATCAGATTATTGTCCATCTGGTCCGCTCATTCATGTCACTCGATAATGCTTTCGGAGTTCATCCCGGGTGTGCTCAGGGTGGGCTTGGGGTGGGTCCCCCCTGGGTGTGTGCTCGGGGTGGGTCGGGTCCCCCCCGCATGTGATTGTAGCTTGTTCTCGCCCTTTGTTCCCCCTCTTAGTGCAATGATACATTGATTTTCGTTTCAAAGTTCTTATTGAGTTTTGACAGTAGGTAGGATACATAATACAGTAATCAATACTGGAGTGCAAATAAAGTAGGAACACGGAGACATTGGTTGTTGTCGGGTGGGTCATAGCCGTGATCATAATTTCTCCAGGTTCCTCAAGACGGGGGCAGGACGAGATTTACCCTACCTGCCGCCCCAAGGCCGGGTTTGGCAATGCCACCCCCCACCCCCCAACGAGAGATTGACAGGTTTTTTTTTGTTTCTTTCTTTTTCTTTAACTTTTTTATCACTTTTTAATTTTTTTAATGTATTTTTTTACTTTTTTATTTATCTTGTAATCTTTTACTTTTTTTAATTTTTTAAAAATGTTTTATCTTATTTTTCATTTATAATTATTTTCTTTTTTATATTTTTCAATTTTTTACTTTATTTATTACTTTATTTTTTAATGTAATTATTATTACTTTTTACTTATTTATGTAATAATTTTTTTAGCAGTTTTTTTTTCACCTAACTTTATTGCTATCACACAGGAGCTAACAAGTCACTGCGTGATAGCATTTGGAGGTGACAGGTTCTCTTTATTGTACCTGTCACCTCCAATACAGGAGTTCTTGCACAGCACTGTGCTGGAACTCCTGTGACGGGGTGAGAGAGGAAGAGCACAGCTCTCCCCTCTCGCTGTCTATATGGAGCGGCAGGGTTACTTTTAAC